TCATCCTTATCTCCCTTCTTTGCATTTAAAAAGAGCAGGCTCTGAGAGTGGTTGTGCTGCTTTGGGATGACCAAATGGCCACTGTTAGAGCGGCATCTCCTGGGTGCATCTGCCATTTCCATCACTGTTTTCCTCTCTATCTCCATCATGCAGTTGGAAACCCAAAGGCCCGTGCCTCAGCACAATTCAACACACCTACCAATAGAAAATGCCAGAAATGATTCCCTTTTCCAGAACTTCCCGTCCTTCAAGAAATGCTGCGGGTTGAAAGTGTCGGGGGTTTCCCACTCATTTTTGTCAAACATCACAGAGGTTATATTTGTCATCACCATAGTGCCCTAAGAGGAGAAAAAATAAAAGATCACACTTGCAGTGGCCCTTAAAACAGGAGGGGCAGCTTTATCTTCCAGTCTCTCCAGGAAGAACACGCAGAGTCAAATTCTACTGCAATTAGTTGTTTTAAGAACCCTTGCAGGGCCAGGGTTTCTTTGGAGGTGCAGTGATTATAGAACCACGTTTTGTCCTCCTCAGCATCCCTTTGGTCTGCTGTAATCTTGGGCCAGAGTTCCTGTAAGAGCTCTGTGAGCTGGGATCTGTGCCCGGGGGGTGTGGCAGCCTGTAGGGCTCTGCACCATTGGGGGAGCTGGAGAATATTGGTTGGTTGGATGGCAACAATCCACATTCAGCAGGAGTGAACTCTGGACAGGGCAGGGACAGTGTGTCTGTGCAGGAGGGGCCTGGCCTGGTGAGTCGTGCCTGGGGAGCTGGGAGTCTCCCTGAGGTCCCAGTGCTCAGGAATGAGCTTACCTTTGGGATGAAGAAGCCATCCAGATTCGTGTCCTTTGCTGCCATTCTTGGTACGTTGAAAGGGACGATGTTGGCTTTCGTCTGCACCTCATGGATGACGGCGTTGGTGTAGGGCATGTTGTTCCTGTCCTCCAGCACTGGCTGCCGTGCCTGTCCGATGACGGCGTCGATCTCAGCTTGCACGCGGGCTGGTGGGAAAGAGCAGGAATCAGCCAAGGCCCAAGGATAAAACCCCTTGGAATAACACAAGGTTGTTGTTGGGAGGGTCCCCTAAGGGGACACCTGCCCCTGTTTGCACCTGTTTTGTGTGAGTGCAGGGAGATTCCCAACTTGTCCCTCAAGAAAAGTGTCTCTCACAAAGCTATGAGGGATAAAAGGAAGGGAAAGCACTGACCTTTTGCTACTTGTACCTTGAATTTCAGGATATGAGGCCATGAACAGCAGAGCCCAGCGGAGGGTTGAGGAAGTGGTCTCTGTTCCAGCAACCATAAGGTCGAGGGTGCAGGCGATGAGATGTTCCTCCCGGAAGGTGTCACTGCCCTTGTCCTTCACAAAAAGGTGTGTTAGTGCTGCAGGAACAGTGAGGGCTGTCCTGACACCACGCTTAGTCCAAACCACGCAAGAATTTGGGCAGGAGCTGCTGACCCCCTGCCATCCCATCCCACTGGTGGGCACCCTGAACCTGATGT